AACGGATGGAAGTTTTGATGAAAAGGCGCAGGAGGAAAAAAAGAGATGAGAATTTGGTGAGGGATGCGAGAAAGCAGGGAGATGATAAGTAGAATCGGGAAAGGATGTTGACCCCGTAAAAGTGACATGTAGATTTAATCCACTGCGTCAGAGATTCACTCAAAGTTTTAAAATTCTTTGGGATAAGCCACGAGTGGATTGAATGAAGAACCGATTAAGGTCGACAAATCACTTATTTGATGCAGTTGTTGAACAAAACACAGATCGAAAAAACGAATAACCACGGGAATCCCGTTGACCAAAATTCAAAATACCCATCGCCGTGAATAGCAATCTTTAAAAAAAGAATGACTGATTACATGAACATGAGACATACACGTGAGATTATAGCATCCTCCTCCCAAACCTAGCAAAAATGATGATGGAAAACTCATGATTAGATTGTCCAGAAGAAATCTGGAAAATGGCTTGGGGTGCTTCTTTTGGGTCAGTGGCCTTCCGGTATGGGTCATCAGAAGAAACAAAAGAATGAAAAAAACATCCACTTGTCCTCATTGTTTGCATCCACGGTGAGAAAGAGAGGAGGGGTCACCTGAAGGGTCACCAGAAGGTCGGTATTCATTGACAACAGGTTACTACTCATTTCTGGTCATATTCGCATTGTTAGTGTGCGGTTACCTAAGGAAAGTGGTCTTTTCATTAAATAAGTTAAACAGAGATCACAAAAAGACTGATAATGATTGATGAGAATCCAAACAGCAATCAGAACGTTCCCTTAATTCGACTACGTCTGGATCGTCCAAGTAAGCTGCTGAAGTTTTGCGTTAATATGGAATTCACACGTAACACAACTTAAATATTCAAGAAAAAGACTATATATGAAATACAGATTCTTCTGCCCACTCATACGTGGATTAGAATCCGAAAAAAAGTTAGTCGAATATCATTTGTTTTGAGTTTGGCAAAATCATTCCGGATATTACGAAAACCTAGCCGAAATGCGCGGAAAAACGTGAGTTTTGGCTTCATTCAAAATGTAAATAATTTGCTACTCCTTGAAATTAATGTATGTCATCAGCAAGCAGGGAAAGAAAAATGGAAACTGTGTGTTTCAATTAGCAGTATCAAGATCGAGATCAATCCGGGATTTGACAAAAATCCGTTAATTCCCAGATATTCCATATTTGTCTTCCATCCTATAACTTTGGAATAGAAATAGAAGGAACAAGAGCAGAGAATGGTGTAAGAGAGGATGATGTGACAGGGTGAATGAAAGACAGGTGTTAAGATAAAATAAGAGCTGTTAAGTTAGAAGGAATCTTCGTGACAGACGTCATCACCGTCATCTGTCGAATCACTTTTCCATTATTTCGAATGCATGCCTTCGAGTCTCGGTTCGTCTCCTCTCTCTCCTCTCATCTCATCTCATCTCGTCGGGAAATGATGCGAAGAAGACACACATCAAAATATGCAAACATTCACCTCCAAACACACACACACACACACACATACATGCATGCACAGCTAGGTAAGAGGAGGAGGATAGAGGGAGGAGAAGGAGTGTGCTTGTTCATGAAGGTGCGGGCCTAGCATGCCTCAAGTTAAGCATGGGTGCGAGAGAGGAAGCAACGATGCACATGGTGACAGGCCTGCTGCTGCTTCCACCGTTCTTTCATTTCCTTTCCTCTTTCTTTCCTGATGAGGAAGAAATGCGAACGTATCCCTGAAAATGTATTCGTTGTTGCATTGCACTGCCCTGAGGACTTTCTCTTCTGTGAGCGGTGCTGTTACAGTGAGCGAATAAAGCTTAAGACTTGCGGTCAGGTAACAATCAGCTTCGCTTCTCCATCTGTCAGTGTTATGAGTGTTCTCTGATCGTCATCGATAGCTGTCCCATCATCCTTAGTTGCTTTTCTCCCTCCTTCCCCTTTTCTCGGAGGGAAATCAGGGAGGGAATGATCCACTTTTGAAACCACACTTCTCACACCTCAATGAAATCCCGAGAGCACGGTGATAGGAATTGCAACCATGTGAATATAGTGATCATGGTGACAGTTAATAACATATTTTAGTGAATCTTAGAAACAAATTTGAAGTACCTTCCTGGCATACTTTCAGAAAGGTTTCCTTTCCCGTGTTATCAGCAACGATATTGCTATAAGTAACTGTTGACAGAGAGTCGCTTGCCAACAGATCCCTGTGACAACACAAAACTCCCTCTCTCCCTCAATTCAATTCCATTTCATTACTGTGTGCTTTGTGACAGGAGGGTTTCCCAGGTGACTTTCATATACTTCTCAATTCACTAAGTAACCCTGTCCATCGATGCCGTCGAGAAATTGAAACAAATACAGTGCTTGGGATCAATCAATTTATACTGAGAATTACTAATCCGAGCGGGAATAAACGAAACTTTGATAGTCTGTGATGTCGACTCAAATATCGACTGTTGATCGATAAGTGATGTCGACAGCTTGAACATGTGGGAATTTTATTTATTCGCTGAAAACATTCGTTGCAGGAAAGACTCTCTCACTTTCCTCTTCTCCACGCGGTACTTTTTCTATCTTCTGACATTCCGTACCGCTTTCTTACTTAAAGTAAATTTCGAAAGTATGCTAAGTTAACTGGTGTAATTTAACTTAACGTGCCGAATCATTGCATGAAATTCGCAGCTTAATGGCAGCACTCTGGAATTTCGTTACTCTTCTTTCTTTCCGTATGTGAAGTATGCATTTACTGTCACCCACGTTTCATTCTCGTCTCTCCAACTTCTCCCACGCCAAACCTTCTGTCCATCAAAGCCAGTCTCATATTCTTTGCGCACACATGATCATTTCGAATGACTTCGCAGCGACATATTTGTTTTGAAAACGAGCAAATAACGGAATTGTATGGGTGGTATTGATATGGAATTTATGTAAATTACTGCCCTATCTCTTCAACCTGTAAGTTATTCAGTCGTTGAGTCATTCTCATCCAATCGATCGATCGCCTCTTAACCAGTAGTGCCCGTTGATTTTACCTTTACCTTCTAATAAAACCATTATGACCAGATTGTTACAGAGGCTTGTTATCGTTGTTACGGATTTTATGTTGGGACGTGGAGCGCACGTGTTCGAATGAACCGTCACGTATGAGAAAAACTAAACTATCAAGAATATTATTTATCTTTTCACGCAACAATTATACGAATAGAGAAAGCCGCCTCAGTCGGAGCAGTTGAACCATTCGATGAATTTATTTCTGATTTCTGATTTCTCTTCGTAATTTCATTCCTTTTCTGCGAATGCCATTCAGATTTGGCGATATTGCCTCTATGTGTTAGTGTTATTCTCCGTCGAAATAATAATTGTCGCAGTGACGACTTTACTGCCACTCTGTTTGATTCCACAGCTCCCGCATCAAGTTTTCGAATTCAAGCTGCCAGAAAAATATTTGCATAATTCCCAAAATTTATATGCAAATGCTTCAATTGCTTGCAGTGGAGTTCGCTTTTGTGACGTATTTTCAAGTTTCACGTTGTGACGTCCACCATGGTAACATCGGTATGTCATCACCCACCACAAAAGTGGTACGGGAATGCTCAATGCGTGGTGTGTGCGGACACCGTGGCGCTATGCACCAAACGTGTCCCTACCACGGACCACCCTTACGAATAGTCGAAAAACATCGGCAAACGTTGGCGTCACTTTGCCCTCATCTGTTTCAAGGTTTGATTTTGTCTCTTTCTTCCAAGAGCAGGAAAAATGGTCTGTTCAGCTAAATGAGTATTTAGAGCCGAAAAAATAAATAAACGAGCTAAATTAAACAACTCATTTACTTATGGCCAGAACAAGCCGATGTAGCGAGAATAATGCTAAGGAATGCGAAGATTGGGTGAATGTCAGCGTTGTACATTGTCTGTTGAAGTGCGGGTTTCTCGTCCAGGCTGTGTTGAGCTTATTTCTCGAGGTCGAAAGCGAAAGAGAAGGAGAGGAAATATATCTTTCCGCATAACGATAGCAAACTAATTGGATTTTTTCATTTAACTCTCTCCTATTTGTGTTCCTCATCCCCAACATTGTTTTAATTTGATTTCAATGTCTCAAATATTAATTTCGTTTTTTAACAATACCACTTTTGTCGCAGAAAAAGCGAAGCGCTCGAAGGAATACTCTTTTCAGAATTTGAGCTTAGTTGGAAACGACAAAAGTTAAGTCAAGTATTGACACGATTGTTCGGGCCAAACAGAGACGCACATTCCGTCTTTGCATACTATTTCTCTAAATTCAAATTTATTTGATTTTGATACACGACGGAAGAACACTTAGCAGCAGAGTTCTTAGAGGACTGAGAACGTTTAAAATGAATACTTAGATTTTTCACAGCATATTATAGTGTCTTCCCTTTCCGGTCACTTATTACTGTAATGGAAAGATTATCGGTCTTTTTAGATACATCGTCCGTAACAAATCACCTTTGCTAATTAATTCTCCTACTCAATTATTCATATTATTTTTCATCGAAGCATTCGTCTGTGCCATATATCAAATGACACTAAATGCTAATGGTTACTCCATTTTATTCAGGACGAGAGATGATGTCCTTAGCTTGCATCTCTACACTACTTATTAATACTGCAGTGGTGAATGTGAACTTTAGCAGAACTCAAATCTCGATGTGGTGAGACTCGGGAACAAAAGTCAGGCTGATTTTATTTATAGGCGAATGCTAAAACAAAAATGTCCCGCGACCTTTACAAAACATTTTGGAGGCAATATGAAAAACGATTCTGCTGGATGACTCTTCAAGAAAGAAGAACTTTTCCCAAATACTTTCTCCCTACTCCCGACTATTCCGTTTTCTCTCCTCTCTCTCTCTCTCCCTTTCTCAAATCTCTATTTCCCTACTGGAAAGGACTTTCCACTCTTTGCAACTGTTGTACTGCTATGCATATATATATGTATATGTGTGTGTGTGTGTGTGTGTCTGTCAATTTACACGGCAAGTTTTGGCCCGTCCTTTGTTTCCTTTGCTGTTTCTATTTTTTATGCACGGTAAAGATGGAACTCCACTGGACGGGACTGATCAGTCCTAGTAGTTTCAAGAGAAGGATACAGGATTATTGTACTCTGTCGAAGAAGAAGAACAGATACTGACTGCAGTCAGCAAGCAAATTAGTAGGCCAACTAGCTGTGGAGTAAAGGTAATGACGGTGCCGCTGTGTTTTGTGAATGACCACTTTCTCGAGTCATTTCATACATCTTTCTTCTAGTAAACATTTGAATGACCCTGAATAGAACTGGAAAAATATCCATCCAAACAGCTAGCAGATAAGGGTCAAAGGGGTCACCCGTCAGGGATAATAGAAGAGGGATGAATCATACATAAACTTAGCAACAGCTCTAGTTGCCGGAGATGTGATAAATTGAAATTGCGAAAAGGCAACCGCTGATTTATGGCTGTGTTCTAGCCATAAATCAGTGGTTGCTTTTTACAATCTGCCGAACATGATGACATGTTCGAAACTGAAAAAGTTATTAGGGTCAAACTGGTTTTTTAATAACTGTGATAATAACTCTGCCCACTGGATAGGTTACTTTCAGGAGGCAATGAAGAATTTTGCTGTGATGAAAAGCAGGTGGTTCTGTTGGATGCGCAAATGACACTGCCACGACAGTTCCTGGCGCGATGTCCAAGTTGCTTGACGAATTTTGTACAGCTGTGGTGTGACTTCACCTGTTCACCAAACCAGGCGAATTTTGTACGGGTCATTTCGTCTACCAATGATTTATATCTCGTGTAAGCGTGTCGCAAGTTCTTCATTGTTTCCACCATATAAATGAACCTAAAAATGCTAGCCGGAAGGTCATCATCAATCAAATGGCCATCCCAAGGCGCCACTTATTCTTGAAGCTTCTTTTTCATAAGGTACTTTTTTGTGGCTTGCGAACGGAATTCTCTGTCAAAAGTGAAATTGGAGAAGTTGACCTCTGTTGGGATCAGTTTCGCCTTTTTTCTACCGCAATTTGCAAGCAGTTTCCTGTCTGATATTGAATTGCCAACACGGTTGGATGTACAGTTTTTTTGATTTACAGGGAAAACAAAACGCGTTACGTCACAGAAGTTGCGTATTATGTGAGAGACAGTTACGTAGATGAGTTATTTCAATCATGCAGAAATGTTGGTTAATTTTCATGACATTAATTTAAAAATCCATTGTGCTTGCTTTTTGTGAGGCTGTCATTGATAAGCTCTTCTCATCTCGCTGAAACTGAAATTGAGAGAAATGTGTGGATTCAATGGGATTGGCACTATTAGTGACACTGAATTGTTGTCAAAAAGGCACTGTCCCAGTGGTTTAAAAGAAGCTATTTAATTTTGGGAAGTGCCAGTGGATATTGATGAGGTTGCTATTTGCTGAGTGATTGACAGGGAAAATGAAAGGCACAATAGAGCGATAAATTAAAGTTTACAGGAGTGCATCAAAGTGCTGTGTCAGAACCTCGTTACTTATCTTACTTTCGGTACTGCTACTTTATAGGTTCGAGCAGTTGGAACGGACTATGCGCTTAGTTTTATGTGCGGCGTGAGTATCACCGAGTGTGACATGTCCCGGTGGTTCACCTTTCTGGGTACCTACAACGATGACATTGGCGTACCTTTCCATATTACTTTCATTCCTACTTCCTCCTTCGCTGAATCTACGCAGCACGAGCAAGTAAACATTTCAAATGCCAGAGCAGTTGACATTAACCCACCCGCCACACGGGTGTTTCTCTGTTCGGAAGCAGCTCATCCTAATGGCTCTCCATGTTCCTGTCAGGATTGCCCTCAGTCTTGCGTTGCCGAAACACCTTTCCCCTTTATCACACAGGTGAGCATTCTTCCATATGCTTCTATTCTCGATAGGTGTCACTTGACAACTCACGTCAACACTGTTTGCTGCGTCTTGATGTCCCATGCATGGAACAACGGAAGTAATGAGATACTTCCGTTATGGAATAAAATCGGTCTAAATTCAATTCATTTAAAACTGTCGGAAGCATGCATGCAAAAAAACTTCGAAATTTGTAAAATTCTAATCAACTTTTTGCATCGATGTTGAAATGTAATTGTCTGGTGGAACTTTTTTAAGAAAACTCTGGACGGTTATTACAACCTTTTTAAGCTGCAGTCGCTAGTTTTTTCGCTCACAAAGTTTCCCCCTGCATAATTTTCTTGCAATGTTTGTAGAAGACTGAATTTAGTGAAAATGCAGAAAACATTCAGGAGAGTGGTCAGGCCTTTATCAGTAAAACTATGGTCTCTTTCGGCAATT